ACCATTTGCACACGGATCTGCTGACGGTCCTCATCTCCTTGGACACGGCGCCAATATGCACCGATGGGGAACAAAAGAAATTCCGGCACATCGGACGTTTGTTGAAGCCATCATGAACATATGTCAGCACGACCAGCTACAAGCGGCACAAACCACATGCGAATGACACATTCCAGGCAGAATTGTACGAACCCCGACCAGGCAAACCCACAAACCAAACAAGAGGCCACAGTGCCTGAAACCAGTGCACTGGCGCCTTACCGATAGACACACTCAAACTCTCTACGGCAGCGCGCAAAGGATCGAGGGACGTTTTTCTACCTCAAAGGGCGCCCTGCAAGGTGAGCTGCACGCATAGAGCAAGGGTGGCGTGCTGCAAAGGTACTATGCCACTGGATTTTTCACTTGTCCTCGGCTCGCTCCTGCCTGGCGGCCTTGCGGAAGTGCCTTCCTGCACAGATCAGGGGCTTTCGCTCTCTGGCCGCATCCGTCACAGTTCCCTTTCGTAAGAACATCTGCCAACATCTGCGGGGTGTCGACCCACATTGCGAAGCCGGTGCGTCAGTACAGGTTCTCACCGATCACGTCCTGAACCTGGGCGATGAGGATCCTTACCCTCTTGTCTTGAGGCTCGGCATCCTTGTTCAGGGTCTGCTCCAGGGAGCGGGCGTCCGTGAAGCACGCAACCAAGTTCTTGGTTGAGGTAATAGGCTGGTCCATGGCCCCTTGTGGCCGCGTTCGGGTGCACCAGCTCCACGACCCGGCGCCAGCCAGGATTCATTGGCTTCTGCTGAGAGGGTGCTGCGGCACACTCGGAAAATACTGCCAGAGAATGCCTCCACCGCATAGATCTTCGTCGGCGAAGCTGCTGTCCACGAAGACAAATGCAACCTTCAGCTTCACGTCGCTCTTTCTGAATGAAACACGACTTTCAGAGGTGTCCTTTAACACCTTCACGGCACGGCTCAGATGGACAACATCGCTGATCTTGGGGCTGCTCATAGACTGGGGCAGCCAAGCTCACGTTCACCATGAGGTCGGGACGCGACTGCCTCTTAACCTTGCCCACCTGGCCGATGAGGCCCCCGAAGGCGGTCAAATTCACGCACTTCCTCCGCTCGGTCGGGAGAATCATGTAATCCATGCCCTCGATAGCGTCCATCTGGTCCAGGAAGATCTCTTCGTGGATCTGCTTGATGTTCTTCCCACAACATCTGAAAGATCCTCTCTTGATCATCATTTTTTCATTGCAATTACTGTGCCTAGTGCGGTGTGCGGTTGGAATCTTAAGCTTTCTTGCATCCTGGCCGCCACCTGTCGGGAACGCCTTTGAAAAGTGAGCTAAGTCTGAACTTACATCTGCACCCTCTTCACCTCCAGCTGGCGGCATCTAGCCCGAAGCCATTGCAGGCCCTCTGGCCTGACGTCGAAAGCGGCCCCATTGATGAGCCGCATGAGTTTCACGCAAATGGGTCAGAATCTGGAAGCTTAGGTCCAAGCTGCTTGAGGCTAGACAAAGGACCTTGGTGCAACCAGAACTCGCCCTCTTGAGAAGGAGCTTTTGCAGCCGCCACGTGCGACTATCACGCCAACTAAAATACTCGCGGTCTGCAGAATGCTGCAGGCTCTCCTCGACTCTGCGCTAGCGCATCAGCCAACTGGTTTAGCCTGTTCGCCCAGCTAGGCAGGCCCAAATCAACTGGGGCGGTTTGGTGTGACTAAATCCAGAAAAGCTTCACCCGTTGATCTTGGGCCTGCTGCCTAACTCGGACCCACAGGTCAGGGTTGGAGAGAATTTGAAAATTTTGCGGCGCAGATGTCGGAGCTTCCTAAATCTGCGCACGGAAATGAGACTATCTGTGCAACGCTGTACATCGCTAGCTGCGCAAGATCATCATGTGCCCTGGCCTTGGCAGGGTGCCTGACAGCTTGCCTTCAAGAACAGCTATCAGGGCCGGTAATTTTTCAGGGCAGGTTTTCTTCAGGAGCTGAACATGCTTCCTGGCAACATTTAAATCCAACCCCTGTTCAGCCCCCTTTCCGCCCTGGTGTGCACTAGCCTGTTTCCAGAAATCGGAGTCTTGCCTTTCAACTCGGCACGATCGCTCAGCCTTGAGCTCGCGTAGGGTGCTCTCTGGGCCTCCCGACGGGCAAGTGGTACAAGGGCACCAAGAGGACTCCCGTGACATCCGCTCCTACATCCCCACTGCAATGGCGCTCAACTTGTTGTCTGCCGCGGTGGTTGCGGCGAATGAGTGGACGGTATGTTTTCACGGCATATCTCCAGTCTCAGTCACAGTGGATCAGATTGTCCTGCCTGATATGGGCGACCCTGGCAGCCGCTCTCACGACGATCGGGCCATAGCAATTCGGATCTTTCGCTTTCTAAAATCTCAAGTTTCTCCGACTCGCTGTCCAGGAGCAGGCTTCTACTCGGCCCGCCCCAGCACCCAGGGCACCGGAGAGTAGGCGATAACGGCTGTGGCCACGGTCATGTCCCTCAAGTAAACTTGATGAACATCGTGCGCAACCCTTGCCAGCTTTTCTTTCCACAGGCCATCCGCTTTCTCGCCTTTCCCGTTTTCCACGGACCGAGGGGCATCACCTCCTCTGCACGCCGAACCTGTTCAGGGCGAAGCCATGAACTCCTGCTGCGGTGCACCTGCATGCTGCCGGGAAGCCCCGGCCCAGTTCGACCAGGAGGTCAGGAAACGACGGAAACGACGTAGAACTGCCAGGTCGCGGGGCCGAACTGAACGTGCGGCGTAATGATCGTAACATCTCCACAGTCTCACTCGCCACCTGTGGGCTCGCCGATCAGCTCGGCCAATGTCCGATCCTTGTACTGCTCAGTCAGCGTGGCTGCCCGTCCTTGCCTTCGACTTTTCAGTATCTTTTTGCGGCTGGCTCCAGAAAAAACTGCGATCACGTCAAGGAGGCGCGATGATCCTGAAGATCTCGGGACCACTGATGCTCTGGCCCAATGTTGGAGCACAGACTCGAAGGCGACCAAAGAAGTCATAAGGAACCCCCCGCACCGGCCGGTCCTCGCGCATCTTCCGTGTTCATTAACTGCCGCACCGGGGGCTCACAAGTATCACGCGCCGCTTGACCCGGGTGACCCGGACACGGGAAACCACGGTCCTCTCGCCGTCGTGGTCCTTGTGGGTTTGGCATTCTTTCCTGGAGCTGCGGGCCCAAGGACAAACAAAGGCAACGATAACGTAAGGATCCTCGACCTGAAAATCGTTACCCAGCGCTTGACCTTGTAGTTGAAGCCGTCCGTGGTGTCGTGGATCTCGAGCAGGGAACCAACGGCCAGATGCAAAGTAGGCTCAGCCCAGCACCAACGGAGAAAAGCCGCTTCAACCAAGTCTTCCCAGCCCTGGGCTTGTTCGGAACATGTGCCTTGCCATTGTTGGGTGGTCGAACTGAACGTGTGGGGTAGGAATCGTAATATCCTCAGTCTCACTCGCCAACTGCGGGCTCGCCGATCAGCTCGGCCAATGTCAGTACTGCTTTGTCAGTGTGGCTGCCCGCCCTTGCCTTTTCAGCATCCTTTGTTGTGGCTCGCTCCAGAGGAAAATTGCGGCCACGGCGCTCCACCACAGCTTGTTAAATGATCACGTCAAGGATGCGCGACGATCCTGGGTCCTGAAGATCTCGGGACAACTGCTGCTCTGGCCCAATGTTGGAGCTCGAAGGCGGCCAAAGAAGTCATGCGGAAAGTCCCCCGCCCGCCGGCGTCGAAGGCGGCGAGCCGTCCTCGCGCATCTTCCGTGTTCATTAACTCCCGTGCCGGGGGCTCACAAGTATCACGTGCCGCTTGACTCGGACACGGGAAACCACGGTCCTCTCACCGTTTTTGGTCGTCGTGGTCCTTGTGGCTGTCGCTCGGCATGAGATTGGCAATGTTTGGCAGTCTTTCCTGAAGCTGCGGGCCCAAGGACAAAGGCAACGGTAACGTAAGGATCCTCGACCTGAAAATCGTTACCCAGCGCTTGACCTTGCACGAGTAGTTGAAGCCGTCCGTGGTGTCGTGGATCTCGAGCAGGGAACCAACGGCCAGATGCAAAGTACGCTCAGCCCAGCACCAACGGAGAAAAGCCTCCTCAACCAAGTCTTCCCGGCCCGCATGTTCGAGACATGTGCCTTGCCAGTGAGGACCCCCTTGAAGATAAAGTCGTCGCTGTCCACAAGCTTTTTTCCTTTTTTGTTGGTCACCCTCGGAAAACGCGAGAGGACTGCCTCCTCCAAATAGTTCACGTCCTCGGTGACGTCAGTGACGTCCTCAGATCTGCAGGGAGCCGCTGTCGTGGCAAAGGTTTGCCAGCCTCATCCTCGTCCACCCCTCCAGGATCATCGTAAGGCAGCACCCCATTGCCACTGTTCTGGTTCTTCCTGCCGGCCTGGCCTTCTGGCTCAGGGTCATCTTACCTTTCGCCTCGCCTGCTTGAAAGGCCTCGTCCTCGCAGTCGGCGCCGCCGTCCTCGACGTAGGCCTCCTCGCCTTCATCGTCGTGCTCCTCCTCATCGGCCAGGCTGGCGGCCAGGCATACCCACCGGGCTTCTGCACAAAGGGTGCGGCGACCTTGCTCGAAAGGAGCTGCAGCAGACGCGGAGGCGAGCAACCCAGATTGTCCCTCTCAATTTAGTCGCACTCGTTGTTCACCGCGGCCTGCACACACGGCTATCCAAACCACCAAAATGCAACAACATCATTGCCCGCCCGGATGTGGCCCAGGATTTTTGACCCGGCAAGCACCTCTATTTCTACAAGGAACAAAGGCGACAAGCTGCACATGTGCTATGCCACTGGACTCTCACATCGTGTCCTCGTGAGCTGGCGATTGACTTGAATATTTTGGTAGCGCAATCAATTACCGGACCCTGCTTCCAGCCAAAACCCCCCGCAACCTCCCTTAATCCGCCATTGGTGCCTCGGCATTTGGCTTTGAGCTTCCCTGGGAAAGCTTACCAAGGGGAAGCTGAGCCAGCGGCCTTTGACCGATTTGCTAATTCCGCATGGTGCCTGGCATGCCAAGCCAAGTCCTGAAGCAACAGCCAAGTGCCTATGGGCCTGTAACATGTCGTGTGGCGGGATGTCCTGCAGGAAGCAGGAGGCAGCTCCCGAAAGCCCATCCAAAGCTGCAGTTTCGGCGTAAGCAACTCCATTCTGCTGGCCTCTCCAGGCTGGAAGAGCCCACTCTCAGGGTGCTGCCAGTACATTCCGCATGAGATCAGAATCAATTCAGCATCAATCTCAGCGCACAGATCCGCAGCATGGCCAACCGAAGAGCAGAAGCCTGAACATGATTTGATGGGCCCATATCAAGTCTCAAGCTGCGACCAGAGCTGGGGGACTCGCCGGAGGCTGTCGCGGCTGCATGTCGGCTCGTGATTCAGTGATCACCCGAGCTTTCTGGCTACATCCCTAATCTTGTTCTATCTCTCGTCTATCTCTTGAGCTATATACCTGAAGCTGCTTCATGTTCACACGGGAAGCCCGGCTGTCGGATGATGATGAACACCTTTGCTCCATGGTTGGGTGTGCATGACACTGTCCTGGCTCCAAGCCATCAACTATCGGACGATGAAGCTCTCAACAGAACAAGGTGATTCAATCCGGTTCTTGCCTTGCATTTTCGAAGGAACCTTCACAAATTGAGTAACTGGACATGCGCGTCTCAGGAGTCTCCATTGTTGAGCTTTTACCATCATTAACGCCCCCTCTCGATGTCTCAAGCTCCCGAGGTGTCCTCATGTGCATCCAACATCGTCAGACGAAGCGGGCGGTCCAGCGATGCACACTGAAAAAAACCTGACGTGACGTCTTCTGCAGTGCGGACCGGGAGTCTGTACGCTGCAAAATGAAAGAATGAAACGTGGCAACGCGAGGAACGTGATTTGGATCGCAATCTCCCATGAAATGGTCGGGCCAGGGACCCTGAAGCTTTGCGTTCAAACTTGGACAGAGCAGTTGTACCAGAAAGCTGGTATGTAGCGTGCAACTACCACCGATTCATTCGACGAGCATTCGGCAATGAGCTTTCAATGTTTGGTTGCCTGAGGTGCCTGTGATCTCTTGTACGACGCTGCGGAGACATTCGGTGACGAAGTTTCCGTGATGAAGTTGATAACAGTTTGGGAAGCTGTTTCCTGTCTTTGTCTGCGCATCATTATTGCACTTGTCATACTGTTGTGCTCTACTTTGCGTGTCTCATCGATGTAATACGGCTTTGCCGGCTTTGTTGGCGAAGCGAAGATAGCCTGTCGCATTTAACAGTCAGTGGCATCTATGCGCCCGTCAGTGGTATCAAAGCGCAGTGTCTACCAAGAAAGATCCTAACTTGCCTCCACCGGGCGGTGTGAAAGCTCGATAAGTTTAAAACTCAAGGTGCAAAACGGACGACATGCAGGCTCAGTGTTATACTTTGTAGAAGTCAGCATCAGAAGATGTACTGATCAAACACTGAGGAAGGAGCTTTCGTAATTAGACTGAATCATGTTAGCGCGGCTGAGCCAGATATTTAATTCTAGGTACAACTCTAGTTTGCCTTCAGTGCAGAATGAGACTGATGCACTGGGCATCATTCAACCACCAGCATGCCGAAACATAGTATACTAATGCGATTCTGCCGCGGTTGCGTGCGTGCAAAGACTGTCTGTGGTGTGGGTGGCGTGGGCATGTGCAGCAAGAGTACAAGTAATGTGTTGTCTGCATACTGTATTTATAAATGTATAAATATATATATATATATACATAGAAACAGATAGATAAATAAATATATGCATATATATATATATATGCATAATGGCAAAACAAAGTCTGTCAGTCTGCGCGGCTCTTGTTGCCAGGGAATGTTAGACCTTTACACCTGGTTTCCAGCGATCACAACTGGGCACAGTCCTGCAAGGTCGCTGCTCGCTTGACAAAAGTTTTCCCCAATCGAGCTCTGTTCGAGCTCCTAAACTCCGACATTGCAACCCTTGTCGGTGCAACTACGAACGGCCACAGCACTCATCCTGATTATATCCCTGACTCCTGCGATCTGGAGTCGTACGAACGACTGTCCATGGTCATTGGGTCTGGAGGGACTCTTCATATGCTCCGGTGTTGGTTTAGCTAACTTTGGCTAAATTTTTGGCCGAAGCTCGCTTAGCAAGGGACCAAGCTACCAGAGTTGTTTGGTATGTATTGGTTTCGCTTGTGCTGTTTTCAGCTGTTTGATGCGTGGATCACACAGGCACATTGTCGAAGCTGGAGCTGAGTTTGTGGTGTGTTGTCGATTGCTTGAGCGATCATATCTTAAAGAGCTTGAAACATTCAAAGGGATGTGGCCTTTGCCAGGCTCAAACTGTGGCGCGGCCTACATTCACATCCGAACACCTAAGAGAATGAGCAACAATCAAGGACGGGGCTACTTCCGAAACGTCTGTTTCGTTTTGGGATTGGTCCATCATGCAGACACGTCGATACTCACACGGATGATGTTAATCTCAAAGACTCACAAAGCTTTCACAATGGCCCGGCGTACAGTTTTCGTCAGTGGTAGGGATAAGCGACCGTCTGGCCGTGTGGCATCTTCTGTTCGATGGAATGGCACGATCTCACACATCAAAGGGAATCAAACGCAATTGATCTTGGAGTAACTCGTAAAGAACCGTACCGCATCGAACACTGGCCTATGAGATCCTATAAGCACGAGTCCGACATGACATGGCGTCCAACCTGGTCTGATCCAGATCATCTCCCTGGGCATGGGTCCTGAAACCCTTTTCGCGATGAAGACCGATAGCTTTGTAGGCTGCCATCACTACAAGCACGCCGCACGAGGTACAAGGGCCTCAATGATGGTTTGAAGAGAAGCCTTTCAATATCTTTCAATTGTCCCAAGTTGACTGCGAAGCATCAGTGTGATGGAGAGTTTCCACTCCAAGAGTCTCGTACTGCAACACTCCCGCAAGACCACATCAGGCAGCCGCTTCAGAATACCTGTTGCATCCATGTTGAGGTGCACGTTGTCAGAAATGCTTGTTGAGATTGAGCTCACATCAAAATGGGAACTTACTGTAGTGCAAACGCCTATCGCATAACAGATTTCTATCTATTGAATCTATTGCTCATGTTGAAACCTCTCGTTACCTGCAGTGAGACCTACAGTCCTTACGAATCCCCCGGTAAATACTCCTTCTGTTGTGTTGTGTGCAGTGCGGAGTTCTTCGAGCGTTGAACAGTTTGTTGGCACCGTATCTTTTTGCCATCAGCTCTTGGCGGGAACATTGCCTGCAATTGCTGGACAGTGCCTGCTTCCTCGCGTTGGGAAGCGAATACGCAAAATGAGTTTGGGACGATTGGGAATTGTCATGGGTTGGAAAGTAAACTTGTGGCTTGCGCGGGGCTGCGCCTTCCAAACCAGACTGTACGCGTGCAGCGTTTGGTTCATCTCACACTCTTGCTTCTCACTTGTTCCGTGTTTGGATTGTGTGGGCTTCGGATGCTCTGTTTGCTTGTCCCTGCTCCCCAGGTTGTTCCCCTGTCCTGTTATCTGATCCGCGGCAATGTCTGAAACTATGCCTGAACGCATGTTTCTTGAAGTTTGTTCCGGGCGCAACATCGCCTCCCCAGCTTGTTGTTAATTGTTTCTTTACAGCTACGTGTAAAAAAATAACAACATGCCCTAGGATCGTTAGGGGTAGCTGCCCATATTGCTGGTTATCCACGGCGTAACAGTGCGCCAGCCATGACGGCCCCTGCAGCATCGAGGATTTCTATTTTTTGACGGACCCAAATGGCAAAACCGAATCCTTCCAGTTCTGCTGCTCTGCAATTTGTGTGTCGTCGGCCATCTCACTGTCAATCACGCCTTCTCCCCTGCTGTGATATGCTGTGAATTACTGTGAATGATGCACCTTCATTCTGCGAGCTCTGCCGAGCATTGGGTTGCTGCCTATTCGCGGTGCTGTCTATTCGCGCGGTGCTGTCCCCTTCGCTGCTTTTTTCAGCCCTGATGTGGGCAATGCTCGTTTTGCCACCAGGTCTCCGTCTGCATCTGATCGAGGTCCTGGGTTGAGCTTGGTCCCCTCGTTTCGCAAGCACCCCAACTGCCAAATGGCTGATTGAACTCCCTTAGCAGCAAGCACAGACGCTGAAGTCGTTGATTGCATCGAGTCTTCTCACTTGCAGGAAGACATGGGAGGAGTGACACAACCGGGCACATCACTTTTTTGGCACTGCGAGTTGGCGGGCTCAGATGCTTTCAGGCTCGCTGAGACCTGTCTGGCCCAGTTTCTGTTGCCCACCTAAATCAGGGGGCTTTCAGCAAGGTCGCAGTGACAGGTCGCGCACCTGCAACGAACGATCGCAAGAGCTGTGCCATCAAATAGCGGCCTTACACGACAAGCAGCAATTTTTGTGCTAAAGGCGTCGGCTTTACCTTTTGAGCGCACGATCCAGAGGTGCAATTGGCATTATGGAGCATTTGGCATATCTGAATTCATTTGTGCACAAGGACAGGCGGATGCTATTGGCCATCCGCGGGCCCTTGCCAAAAAACAAGCAAAAACTTGAGCAAGGCACTTGGTGCGTCAAGGTCTACGCAGGACTATCGAATAGTTTTCAAAATGGTGTTCGTTGCAGCTTGGCTGGTGGAAGCCCGCTTGTCACCCACCGGAGAAAACACCCTCCAAAATCGGAGCGTTTCATCAGCGGAGGAGGAACATACAAGCGAACCGTCTGGACTCTGCGCGAGTCCCAGTAACCTCCCTTCGTGCCCTTCCAAATCACCAACTTTGACAAGCGAAGGATACTTCCACAGAGACAGCTGGTTCCTCGAATATCCATGAGCGGTCAGAAGTTCTCGCTCCTGCTGCCCCCAGATTATCCCCGTGACTTGGCTTTCTGCGTGCGTAGACATCAACATGCGGCCACTAGAAGCATTCCAGAGGCAGACTTGGCGATCTGCAGAGCCTCCGCCCGTCGCCAGAACATGTCGCTGCCACGGACACCACCGAATGGCTTTGACTGCAGCCTGGTGCTCTGTGAAGGTGTGCAAAGGGATGGAAGAGCCAGGGGTCTCCCAAATGCAAACCAAGTTGTCGTTACCTCCTGATGCCAGCATCCCTTCGGAATTATAGTCAAGACCACAGACCAAGTCTGCATGAGAGATCATTCGGCTGACTAGGTGATCACGTATGCGAACGTCGTGCTGATGGATCTCTGCATCTGCACAACCGCTGCTGAGGATATGTGAATGCCAGGCCAGTGCTCCAACTCGGCCAGCATGCCCACGAAGATTTCGCAGCTGGCGCTGAGCCACTGCATCCCAGATTTGCACCTCACCTGTTGATGCGCCGACGCTCAGATGACCCCCTGCCTCCGTCCATCGGAGAGTTGTGATGGAACCACTGGGCAGCTGCAGGAGTTTTTGTGTGCTGCCAGTAGCTGCATGGAACAGGAAGACCATGTCAGATAGTGCAACGGCCACAACATTCTGCGATGACCAGTCGATTGGGTGACTGTAAAAGTCGTCCAACATGCCCGGTGCGTCCAGAACTTTAGCAGCACTCTGCGGAAGCTGCCTGCATGTCCTAGGCCCGGCTCTGGCGCCATCGCGGTTGCTGCTGTAGAGCACCTTCAACTCATTTAGAGTTGGCTCTTGCTTCATTGGCTTATGCTGGTAGCTCAAGATCTTCACATTGCTCAAGGCCTCCTTTCCAAGCACATTCTGTGAAAGGACCTCGTGATACTCGTTTTGCGGTGCCCAATTTTCGTCTCTTTCCAACTTGAGTTGTCTAACTTCGCTGCATGAACCTCGCGACGGTATGAGCCGATCTGACATGCACACGTCTCCTGTTGCACGCCCACTTACGGAGCTCCCATCATCCATGTCTGCAGAGTCGGAGTGTCTGAGCGCCATGGAACCGGTCCATACAAGCTACCAGATCCTGCTGAGCCAAATGGCTGGAGCAATGGAGTGTGACCGTATGACCTCATGGAAAGCTTCCACGACAAACAAAGCTCAGCCACGGCGATGCTGCCATGAGTGCAGATGTGCCTTCACTCCGCGCCGGGCGGGCGTGTTATCACACCGGGCTCTCTTTCAATGACCACCTTGAAGAGTCTTCTGGAAAGACATGTGGTTCAGCAGAGGCACATCTAAAACCGCATCAGAACTTCGTTTGCACCGGGCGGCAGGGCCAGTACCGCGTCTCCATTCAGCCACGGCAGCTGCAAATGCTTGTCTCTCAGCCTCCTCTGCTTCTTTTAGCTGTTCCCGCGCCTGCACGAGAGCCTCATTCTCAGAAAAGTGGGATTGCCGTCAACCAAGAGCACTTGCGGAATGGCAGTTGCAACACAGACGGTGCCTGATTGTCGTACCGTAGGCCGCCAGTGCTTGTCACCACACCTTAGTCCAGTCAGCTGCGGACTGCACCGTTTCAAAAGGCTTGTTTTAGCACAAGCACAGGCTTGCAGAAACATCTTGTTTATCGGAACTGTGCGCCTCACTCTCAATTGCCTTCTGCAGACGGGTCCTTGCAGTCGCACCATCGGAATTGTCTATTCCCACAGCACCACCGCCTCATCAAGGAGAATCGAGCGGCAGGCCTATGAAGCCACCGGTACGGGCAGAGGCTTTCCCGAACAGCACACGTGCAACCTACAGGAATTAGCAGGACCTGCATTCGGAAAGACTGCAACCAAGCCACCAATACGCTGCAGCCACCGCGACAGGGACGATGGGGTGGACGGGTCCTGTGTGTCGACCCCACTGCTCAAGACAAAACATGTTTCGGCACCTTACTCACTGGCCGTGCGGGTGCCTAAACTCTACCTGTAGCAGCAAAGGTGCCGCGAGTTGCCGCACCAGCGCCTCATCGCTCAGCTCGCAGTGGGTGAAAACAAGCATAGTGTGACCTTATTTCGTTTTGACAAGCGATCAGCAATATGGCACCGCTGGGCTAGTTTCGCTCGAACCAGGATACGACCACTCAAGGCCAAAGCGTGTACAGGTGGACGTGAACGGCGAGACCGACCCTTCCAGAAGCTGCCAGACACCCTTGAACGCACCGGTTCAAGCGAAGACCAAAAAGTCACGAACGGGAGCGGTAACACCCTTGAATGCACAGGCCAACAGGAAGCAATCGACCCCCCAAACATCATCAAACTTGTTGCTTCCCCCTCTGACGCCTTTGGTCCGGTCCCGTGTCCCTTTCCCCGAGTGAGCGCAAGCTTTTGAAGAGTGATACCGACACGTCTGCTTAGAGAGTTGTTGGGACGCTGAAACGGTTGATGTTTGCATGTTTGCCAAGCACGACTCGAAGTGCTTAACCCCAGTGTGGACGCTGAAACAGTTGATGTTTGGATGCATGCAAAACCCGGCTCCGAATTGCTGAACCCCAGTGTGGGAAAACGGCTGATTTTTGAATGTATGCCAGGCCCGTGTCGACGCTGAAACGATTGATGTTTGGATGTATATGTCCCAGGCCCGGCCCCCAAATGCTCAACCCCAGTGTAGACGCTGAAGCACATTGGGTGCATGCCAAGGCCGGTATCCAACTGCTTAACCCCAATGCCGAGGCTGTGAGATGTGTATTCCCTCCCCCCTTGATGCGAGAAAAAATAAGCCCTTCCCCCGCACTAAATTTGGGGTTGCCTAGACCCTCCTAAAAAGCCTCCATGGCCCTGCTTGATAATGGCCGTAGTTGGCTCCGGGGAACGATCGAAGATGAGCTGTTCTAGTCAGTGGATGTGTGGCCGTGTAGCCTTGGTGAACCGAGCCGCAGGGACTGTTCCAGCTAAGCCATGTCAGAAAACAGGTTTAACGATACTGAGTATACGAAGTATAAACATAGAGCCGACAGGTTGAGGTCTTGAACTGCCTTGAACGCTGAAAGCAAATGCTCTCCACTTTTTGTTTACTCCCGAGCGTCGGGTCTAAAAAACACCTCCCGGTTCAGACTTCCACGGTTCACTGTAAGTGGGCATTTAAACCAGCAGTCAGAGCCATACAGTCAAGGCCCAAGGCATGTCAAGGCCCAAGCTAAGTCACATGACTTTTTGTTGGAACACAGCTGAGTCTAAGGCTACGAGGATGCGCGCGATGCGAGGTCATATCACGGTCGCATCAACAGGGCTTTCCCCATGTAGACGGCATGCCAGCAAGGCTGCATCCACTAGACAAAAACACATGTTAACCAGGCCACTCCCCGTGTAAACGCCCGTTTTGAACCGCACCCGGGCAAGACACACGCCGGTGGAATCATAACACATCGAACCATTCAAACCAGCTATTCCCCATGTAGGTACCCGATTTCACAAGCGCACACTCAAGGCAAACATCAGTGACATCACAGCACAACCAAACCAGCCATCCCCCATGTAGACGCCCGATTTGAGAAGCACCCGCGCAAGACACACGTCGGTGGGATCATTAGACATCAGAACCGGCTACTCCCAGTGTAGGCGCTCGATTTCACAAGCGCGCACTCAAGGCGAACATCAGTGGCATCAGGCGGAATCATAACACATCAGAACCAGCTATTCCCCATGTGCGCCCTCGATGTCGCAAGCGCCTGCTCCGGAAACACATCAGGGACATCGCATCAAAGAGCAAACCAAAACCAGCCGTTCCGCATGTAGACGCTCGATTTTGCAAGCACCCAGTACTACAGAAAGAACGATTCTCCTTGTAAATTGCTGTAAACTCAGCTTCATCTATCAAACCTCAACAAACCCAAATCAACGTGATCACGAATCCGCAAGTAGACGCTCGGTGATGCGATCGCCCCCCCCCCCCAGTGTGGGGTATGATCCAAGAAGAACATGATGCGACTTAGCTCCGTCACCGTAGCATGCAACGATGACAGACGAAACTCGCGAAGGCAGAGGAGCTGAGTCTGCTGACATGCCAAAATGCGGCTGCCACGGCTGTTCAACGCACGCAGCGGAATGCACAATCGCGAAAGCATAAACTGGCCTAGCATCTAGACACACGGATCCAGAAACCGATCCAAGTTTCCGGTGCCATTAACCGGGCGACGCAGCGCTGTCTCACCGCAGTTCGCGGCAAACGCCGCAAGGGCCTCGTCATGCTCAGGTTTGAAGCGGCCCCAGCGCACGACGAAGAGGAAGACGCTGATTCCTCAAGAAGCTTGCAGGCCGAACCCCGGTCGACAAATGCATTGGCAACCCTACCTTCGGCCGCTGCTTCAGCGAAGGTGGAGAACCGATCTAGCACCTTCACCCACATGCGATGCAAAGAGGTCACGCGGCACGGGCTCGAATGTGTAGCTCTTGAGCTCCATGTTCGAAACATGTGCAGCTCAGCCTCCTTTTGGGAGAGACCAGTGTCATTCAAGCCGACCGTGTCAATGATTCTCCAGAAGCTGCCGCTACGAAGGTAATCGGCGTGCGCCAGTTCCTTCTCCGAAGCGCTCACACAAGCGATCGTGCGCCAAGCAACATGCAACTGCCAATGTCAGCCTGCGTTTCTGAATGAAGACCGCCAGAAACTGGAAACACAGCCTGTCCGCACCTGGAGAGACTGGCAGAGCTGTAAGACCATGTTGCATCATTTTGATTGCAGACAGAGCGCATTCCAAACGGCATTGTCCTCTCCTGGCCCTCTGTGAACGCCAAAGAGGCATGGACTGGTGCTGACCTAGCCTATCCTGTGGCCAGAGGAGCTAGAAGTCCGCGATTTGCAAACAACTGCTTCAGAGTCTTTGCGACCACTAGCGTTTGCAGTTGTTGAGTGTTGCTGACAAAGGGCAATGCATTTCCTGTAGAGCTCTTCCCATCACCAGTCACTCCCACGAGGACCAAAGTGTGATGCTGATCACCTTCCTGCACAGAATCTTCTGCCAAAGCTCAACGTTCTGCACACACCATGGAACAAGCTAGGCAGGGTCTATGTCTGGGAAAGAGCCGGCAACCCGACCAGCAGACTTGCGGCGTCAGGATTCAACATGGCCCGACAGAGGCTAAACTATGGCTCTAGCCGTGTGACTTGTGCGTGACTTACAGCTGAGGAGGGCTGCAACATGCTGCGGCTGCAGGCAAAGCAGCAGCGTGAGTAATGCTTTTCTTGCAAATCCTGCTAAAATCGCCTGCCACTCGCATGGATTCGATGAGGCGTGAAGCTTCGTGCTGAGTAAGCCTAGGCAGGCAACTCAGGTAGGCAGCATGCTTTCGACTTCGCTCTCTAAGTTCACAGATTTACCAGCACCCTCACCCACTCAAAGTTCAATCCCACACTTTTGGTCGAACTGCCATGTGCACAATGTAGCGGCAAGCGAATTGGCATGCAGTCTGGCCAGGTTGCAGCTGAGATTGTTAAGCAAGCTGTAGCTCTTTCTTGTCGAGATGGGGCGATGTCAGATAAACGTTACAACAATCAACTTCAGCTGCCAAAACGTCACAACGAATTGTGAAATGGCCAAAGTCCCAGCCAATGTCAGAACCTATGGGTTGCGCCGCTCTGCCTGTTTGGTCGGAGACTGACCCACACTACTCCAATGTGCTCACTAAACGAACACGCTTGAGATGTTCGACTAGACAAGGGGAAGGGTCTGTCCATGATCCATGGTCGTTCAAGGACAGGGCTCTCTCTGCGCCCCGGTTCAGCAAGGGACAGGCACATAAGGCAAACGAATTGTTTGGCTTCCTGCTTGAGTGAAAAGCCATTCACACTACTCGAAATCACAAATATCGGCTGGCTATGGCCCGCTCATAAAAATGTCGGGGGCAAGTGGACACGTCCAAAAAGCCGATGACATGCATGAGGCAAGTGCACCACCAAGACAATCTGATGATTTGAAGGAAAGTGCGAGGATCTTCGATCGTCGCACATCATACACGGAAGTCAAGCAAGCACATGAATGAAGTATCTCGAGACCGTCATCACTCATCAGCAAC